CTTACTGACTAAAACACACCCGTGGGGGGTGCTTATGGCCTTAGGGGCCTTACAGGCTTCATCTGATGCGATCAACCCCTGAGAAGGGGATGATGCAGCGCTGCCTTAGTAAATACTACTGCATAGTGCGCTTAGAGGACGGATGCACCCTGATGTGCATCCGTATCGGTTTGGGACTGAGCGACTGAAGGTCTCTCAAGATCGGGGGGGCGGGGAAGCTCGCTTTCGGACCTCCCGCCTTTTTATACCCTTACACAAAAATAATCCTTAAAGCATGATTCAGTATTCACGTGCGACGGCGCGATGGCTTATTTCATGTATAAGTTTGGTGTTTCTATACCGATTTCTATGATTCTTTTTTTATTGAATAGGTAATAATGTTAACTTTTTTAAATTAGGGATGAGTGAGAGTATTATAAACGTAAGAGTAAACAAATATAATCAGAATGCTCCGAACTGCTAAGCTATCAGGAGTTACACGTGTTATTGTGAGTCAACCATAAAAGATACACATATGCTGTTGCGGGATATTTTTTAGACAATTTTATGTAGAATATTTCCGTCATACATGATTTCTATGTAACTTTAACCATTAAGGCTCCACACGCGACGGAGGCTTAAAAAATGGAGTAACTTCTCCCGTTTTCCCAACATTTCCCTTCACTACTCTGCTCCTATTGATTGTAGCGTGATGAAAAGTATACTATAACCTGCCCAGGAGTATGAAGAATAATTGTACCAAGTTTCGTTAAAATCCGTCGAGTAGTTTTTGTTTCTATAAGGAACATACACACAGACAGACAGACAGACAGACAAAAATTTTACTGATTGCATTTTTGGCATCAGTATCGATCACTTATCACCCCCTGATAGTTATTTTGAAAATATATTTCATGTACAGAATTGACCTCTCTACAGATTTATTATAAGTATAGATAGATAAACTTAGATTTAATCAATTCATAAAGCTTTATTTTGTTTTTAGTTGGAGTCTTAACATTGACAGTGTACAGATTTTAATTATTTCAATGTGTTGGGTTCAGTAAAAAAACCACGGGTTGCAATCCGGGAGTGCCGGCAGTGAATATTAACGTTGTGAATTTTTGATATTTTGGAATGTTAGGGAATAATTTTGCACGAATTTCTTTAATTATCAGTATGAATGTACTATCATTTATGTGGTAAAATACAATATTTATTTATTGCGCTATCGTACTCAAACATGACAATTTATATTACATTAAATAGTTTATCTCTCAGAATTTCTCATTTAAGCGCACCGAGCGACATCTATTGTAAAAAAATGCATTTTCTTCGCAATACAGCTGCCACCTGGACGTCCTAGATACAGACTTATTATTATAAATAATACGATAAAATAAATTATTACTATGATTCGTGCAATATATTGAAAGTCAACAACCTTTCCAATTTTATTGTTTTCGTCTTACGAATTTTCGATTGTCAGGTGTCCGGATGCGATCAGGCCACGTGTCATGACGCGAGTTTAACAGTTTTTACCCATTACAAAAAAGTGTACAACGCCGCTAAAGAAGTTTTCACTTCAAAAAAGTAGACAAACATCTTATCTAAAGTAAATTTTACGAGAATAAATCCTACGTGATCCAGAAAGCAGATGCGAATCAAACCCGCACCTTCCGCTATCCGGGTTTGTGCACTGATCAAGTTATGCTACAATGACCTTAATGGCACACGGCTATAGAATTTCTTCTAGTATTTCTAAGGCTGCAAGGCAGCGCCATTTCTTCGCATTGTAGGTAACCCACAGTAATTGGCTTGTGCGTTCGCCCGAATAGCGGAGGGTGCTGGTTCGAGTCCCGTCTGCTTCGTGTACCTTTTCGTACTGATAACTTTATTATTATTATATCATCATCATCATCATCATCAGCCTAATAATGTCCCCACTGCTGGGGCACAGGCCTTCCCTATGGATGGATTAGGGAGATTGGGCCATGACCCACCACGCGGGCCTAGTGCGGGTTGGTGGGTGCTAACAACTGTAGATGCAGCCGGGACAAACGACTTAACGTGCCTTCCAAAGCACGGAATTTTATAGATTATAAATTATTATATATTAACTTTAATTAATAATTATTTACTAGGCCTTATTATAAAAAACCTAAGTTGTTATTATTAGCTCTACATATTGCATTTATCTAACGGGTTGCACTCCGGGAGTGCCGGCAGAAGTGAAAACTTGAATATTAACGTTGTGCTTTCGTTGATATTTAGGAATGGCTAGGGAATAATTTTGCACGAATTGTTTTAATTATCAGTATAAAAGTACTATAATTTATGTGGTAGAATACAATATTTATTTATTGTGCTATCGTACACAAACATGACATTTTATATAACATTAAAAAGTTTATCTCTCAGAAAAACAACTTACATGAATCACATATTAGCGCACCTAGCGACATCTATTGTAAAAAAATGCATTTTGTTCGCAATAAAGCTGCCACCTGGACGTCCTAGATAGAGACTTATTATTATAATACGATAAAATAAAATATTACTATGTTTCGTCCAATGTATTGAAAGTCAATATCCTTTCCAATTTTATTATTTTCGTCTTACGAATTTTCTATTAGGTCACGTGTCCTCACGCGATTAGGCCACGTGTCCTGACGCGATTAGGCCACGTGTCCTGACGCGAGTTAAACATATTTTACCCATTACAAAAAAATGTACAACGCCGCTAAAGAAGTTTTCACTTCAACACGACTTTTGTTCTCCACGGAGTAAAGTCACTCCTCTGCGCAGGCCATAACCTCATTAATTTATACATAAATTTATTAGAGACAAATACTAGGATCAAACTATATTACTGTGTTCATTATATTTACTGACCAAATAATTAGTTAATATGTGAAATTATGGTATCTAGAATGGATGACATGTCAATTAGAGCAATGATTGATGTGAAAGTTTAATAGGAGGCTCATAAGGTTATTGGTACTGCGTCTATGTCAGGATGTACAATAGACACGCATAAGGCTTGGCAAAACTTTGCGTTTTAACTTTTTTGCATAATCGTACCTGTATTGAAGTAGCTACGACAACCTAGGTACCTAGTAAAATAGAAAATTAAGTGTGAAATCAGAAAATGCAATAACAATTGTAACTTATACTATCTACGTTAAATTTATTGTTAATCTATCACATTTAAGTAAGTAACAAATATAATGTTTCCTATATCAGTGGCATTTTATTTCATTAATATCAGACATTTTTTTAATTAATTAATTGTCATCATGACCCTTTATCTGGAGCTACAACATTTATGTAGCTAACATTCGACACGCATGGTGATTTATCGCCAATAACCACTTTGAAATCAATCGATACTTTGTCTTTGTGTTTCAAATTCGAAATTCGTTGTTTTTTCCACTTTCAGTCCAGCGTGGGGCATGAAATAATAGATATTAACATTTTATACCTTCCGTGAATATTTCCAGAGATGTACGATAAATTATAATGAGGTGCACAATTATCCGCCGCTCCAACTCTGTTAATTGTTTTGTTTGAGTAACCGAAGCGTCGGTTTTACTGCACACGATTTGAATGCAACTTTAAACAACGAATTTCACATTTGTCAATCAGAAGAGTGGTATCATATTTTAAATGCAATCTAGAACTTTTTAGTCTACTTAAGTACTTACATAAATATACTTATATCTTATATATAAAATTCTCGTGTCACAATGTTAGTTACCATACTCCTCCGAAACGGCCTGACCGATTTTTATGAAATTTTATATGCATATTCCGTGGGTATGATAATCGGCTACTATCTATTTTTCATATCCTTAAGTGATAATGGTTGTCCACCCGTAACGTAGTGTTCTGAAACTGCTTTTGCGCCTTCGCGCCAAAATTCAAACTATTGGGTATTGTAACGTAGTGTTCTCATATGAGCCCATATGGGTTAGGAGGAATGTTATTTTGGACAATATTTATTTTTTTATAATGTGGTATTAAAAATACATACATCCATATATTTTCTCTTCTACCACCTGCACCTATTTTTAAGGCGGTACGAAGTTCGCTGGGCCAGCTGGTCTCTTATATAAAATTTTCGTGACACTATGTTAGTTACTGTACACATCCGAAACTGCTTGACCGATTTTTATGATATTTTATATGCATATTCAGTAGTTCTGAGCATCGGTTACTATCTATTTTTCATAAATTTTGGCTGCTGGTCAGCTAGTTCGTTTTATAGATGCATCTTTTATAGTGGACGGCATTATAAATAACAAGTAATTTGTGATAGCGAAATCCGTGAAAATCAGAAAGCGAAAGTACCACCAATACAAACACAATACACAATACACACAACAGTGAAGAAAAAGTGATTCATTATATTTATTTGGCGAAAACAGAGATCACGAAACCACTGAGAACAGAAAAGAAATAAACAAGGTTTATATTAAGTTAGTTTAAAAGCAAAACTTAGAGTCATGAAAGGTGAAGATTTTTTTAAAATTAATCCTGTAATATGCAGTGGCCGTTTTCGATTATGTTAAATGGGAAAGAAGCAAATTGGAGAACCCACTGGCCCGGTAAGTATTCTCCACTTCATAAATGATCGCATTAGATGTAACATTATTTCAAATGTAGCTTATTTAGTACATTTTTCACATCTGTATTTGAGTCATCTACTTTAAATAGTAGTATTATAATATATAAGACAATCTTTGGATTGGGATAGAAAATACTTTTTACTAGGAAACGAACTCGATTTCTTGCCGCAACAAACGAGAAACTGATGCATTTTTAATTAAGTCGACTACTGATCTGGCTGCAATGAATCTGTAGAAGGTTTCATTGTTCGATACGGCTGAACTAAACTGTCACATTCCAATAAATACCGTAGGACAGGAGGCAAAAGTCGAGTCGATGACAAAGCGCTTACATAATCCGCGTTTCATCCGCTTACACATGGACGGGACAAAGGACTGGGACAGCGAGTGTCAGCACGTGAAATATTTGTAGCCAGGCCCGTACTAAGGACCAATTCAATGTAATCTTTATGTTATCTTTAAATACCATCCGACCCATATTTGTTCTTTAATACGAAACTAAGCAGAGCTTGTAATATAACAGTATATTAAGACGATATGACGTAATGCATGTGTAACCAATTTGTATTGGGACCGTGTCGTTTGTTATGACCTTATTTTGTGTGTGTATGCTGTTGGTCGCAGATGACCTTTAACAGCGTCACCTGTACCCTTAGTACAAGTTTTACATTACGAAAACTATGATAGTTTTCGTGAGCTCGCACTCATACTCCTTAGTACCCTTGTACTGATTTTATTGTTTTCGTTTCAGTACAAATAAACAGCGATTAAATTAAATAATTAAATCATTTGCGTCTTCTTAAATTTTAAGTATATTTGGTTACTTATCACCAAAGAAACATAATTTACAATTACGAAAACTGTCAGTTTTCGTAAGCTCAAACTCGTACTAAGACTGGCTTGGGGACGGCGAGATCTTAAGGGGGCCTCAAACTGAGAATTGGCAAGTGCCTCTAGAGGTATTCCAGGCGGATGGCATCTCACCACGGGGGGAGTCTCCTCTTCATCTGGAGCCTCTCTTTCCCGACCCCGTACTTTCTATTCCATTTATAGGGGAAGCCCTAGAGTGAAGACATTAAACAGACGGACGATGATTAAGGTTATTGATTACAAGTGACTGCATGTGTTGTTTGTCATATTTTGTTTTTAAAATATTAATTTGTCAGTAACATTATTAGGAAATGTTTTAAAGGCTTTATATTAATGAAATTTATTCAGATACACGTGATAGTGAACATCGTCCAACCTAGTTGTGGTGAATGATTTTAAAGTTTGCGTCCTCCTATGTTTTTAAGATTGCACTTAAGATAAGTTTTTGAAAAAAAAAACAATCGTTTCAAATACAATTCAAAGATTCTGATAAACCCTTAACACATACCTGCTTGCCTTTAATGAAGCGTATGTACGCAGTTTTAGAGGCAGTTTATTAGAATGCACAGGGCAGTTCAATGCAATCCAAACTGCAATGGTTGATGTTTGGAAAAATATAGCACCAAGTCATTGGCTAAGTTTACTTAAATTCAGTGTGGTTTTGTTAGTAGTTGGCCCCCAACTATTCATTTGGAACTGTGATGTATCATAGAAATACGTTGGCCCCTACAAAATCGGTTATTCTAATGGATCAAAAGAAATAAAATACATTGGGAATATTTGCGCGAACTCGACTAAGCTTGAGAGCTCAATAGGCCATACTCTCTGTGCTTTTAATCTTTTTAAGATACAGGCGCCAATGAAGGCCCACTTAATTTCAAAATCTCGTAAAATCTGGCAGACAAGTAAAGGTAAGAAAAAACATAATGGTAGTTGTAATATATTTATTTGAGAAACAAGATATCTAAAAAAGTAGTTCAGTTTTTGGTATTTTAACACAAACATAATTTCTTTTTAGAGACTTGGTATTGGGCTATCTTAAGAAGCTGGTCGCTGTAGATAGCCCAAAAAATATTAATGGAAATATATGCATTATAAACAACATAATATAATTCTCAAACATATCCCGGGCGGCTATATTTAGAAATTATATAATGGACCATGATAGGAAATTACACCCGTGTTAAGAATAATCTAAAATAATAACACTCACCAGTAATTCGCCGATAGATTCATTAAATATGAATTTTAAATTTTCACAGTAGTTACTCCACTTTGCGGCTCCATAATTTGTCGTTATATTTTATTTTCATAGTTGTGTTCGTCATGTTAACCAGGTGCACTGAAGCCGTTTTGGAGTCCGCCTTTGCTTATTGGGATTTTACTAGGTCCTTGTTTAACTTCATACTTACCACACAGTTTATAGTAAAAAGAGTTGCACTATTTTTATGGTACTAGTAGCATGAACCCGCAAAATTTCAAATGTTTCGAATAATCATAACTGTATTTTTTAAGTGGGGTATCCTAGGAGCTGGACCATATGTGGCGACACTACCTTTTGTTTAACGAATTATTTCAGTTTGCTCATGACAGTTTAATTGTATTAATACTTTATATTTATATATACTTAAACAAAGTACAAGTTTGGATGTATATTATTACATAAATGAGTCCGGTTTTTGTAACAATTTTTTTTTCAAACGTATAGGTTTGGTTGTTTTCAACATAGAATTATTGTGTACTTTTCTCGTTATATCTTAATATTTCCGAAGGTCACTAAAATGCGCTTCAGCTCAACATAGCTAGAAATCTAAAGCTTTAACATAAGAAAGAATTAATCTCTGTCCGCTGTGGGGTATTTTTCCATTGTCACAAAAAACACTGCTCAAAATGTTGGTTCCAATACTAAACATTATGGGTCTTTTATATTGATATTGGAAGCATTAAACTTCTAGGTCTTTTGATGTTCCTACCAGAAATTAGCTTTGTATATTAATGATGAAATTAGTTTAACTATATGAGCATGTTAATATATCAATAAACATGCAGAAATTTTTAGTTATTATTAATTTCAAGTATCTATATAAGAACATATCCTTAGTAAAGTAAATATAATCTTTACATGCCGAAACTAAACTACAACTCGTAGAAACGTACTTTTATTGAAGCACAGTTAGCAGTATTGCAAAGTTTATTTTAGCTGTACCAGCGTAATAGTTAAATATCGGAACATTATATCGAATAGTTTATACAACGCTCCGACACAGCAGTTTGAATATTGCATGTTTACAAGCAAATTTCAGCGAAATTTCATAGCCTTTTAGTTACTATCGCGATTATTCTACTGTTAAATTCTTCTTAATTAAGTAGACGCTCTTGATTGTTCAAAGAATACCACTGTGTTTAAATTATAATAGCGTGGGTGTACCTAAATAAGAGCTCCAGTTAAATATTAATTTTGATTTGCATCGTGAATCTATGGAATAATAGACAAATCTGACATAACTACCTACATATTGTTTTATTCAATACTAGCGGCCGCCCGCGACTTTATACGCGTGGAGTTAGTTATTTACACATACTTTTTGACCCCAAAAGGGGATTTATTTCTTAAGGTACATTATTAGTACACCTCTACACCATCTATAGAGCATACATGTTGAATTTCAAGTCTCTTACTTCAAAAACATAGGACTTTCATACAAACTTCCAACCCCCGTATTACCCCCTTAGGGGTGGAGTTTCGTGAAATTCGTTCTTAGCGGATATCTACACTCTATTAGGAACTTACCTGCCAAATTTTATGTTTTGTAGATGTTATAGTTTCTGAGATTTCGTGATTAATCAGTGAGTGGTGTTTCGCTGTAACGTCGTCTGCGTGAACGCTATAGAGCACCAAAAATACCTACGATTATACCTTTTAAAATGATATGGTGGTAATTTCGCCCGGATCGTAAATTATAAAATTGTCTACTGTGTTTATAGTTGTGTTCGTCATGTTAACCAGGTGCACTGAAGCCGTTTTGGAGTCCGCTTTGCTTCTTGGGATTTTACTAGGTCCTTGTTTAACTTCATACTTACCACACAGGTTATAGTAAAAAGACTTGCACTATTTTTATGGTACTAGTAGCATGAACCCGCAAAATTTCAAACGATCCGAATAATCATAACTGTATTTTTTAAGTGGGGTATCCTAGGAGCTGGACCATATTTGGCGACACTACCTTTTGTTTAACGAATTATTTCAGTTTGCTCATGACAGTTTAATTGTATTAATACTTTTTAAGTATATATACTTAAACAAAGTACAAGTTTGGATGTATATTATTATATAAATGAGTCCGGTTTTTGTAACATTTTTTTTTCAAACGTATAGGTTTGTTTGTTTTCATCATAGAATTATTGTGTACTTTTCTCGTTATATCTTAATATTCCCGTAGGTCACTAAAATGCGCTCCAGCTCAACATAGCTAGAAATCTAAAGCTTTAACATAAGAAAGAATTAATCTCTGTCCGCTGTGGGGTATTTCTCCATAGTCACAAAACACACTGTTCAAAATGTTGGTTCCAATACTAAACATTATGGGTCTTTTATATTGATATTGGAAGCATTAAACTTCTAGGTCTTTTAATGTTCCTACCAGAAATTAGCTTTGTATATTAATGATGAAATTAGATTAACTATATGAGCATGTTAATATATCAATAAACATGCAGAAATTTTTAGTTATTATTAATTTCAAGCATCTATATAAACATATCCTTAGTAAAGTAAATATAATCTTTACATGTCGAAACTAAACTACAACTCGTAGAAACATACTTTCATTGAAGCATAGTTAACAGTATCGCAAAGTTTATTTTAGCTGTACCAGCGTTATAGTTAAATATCGGAACATTATATCGAATAGTTTATACAACGCTCCGACACAGCAGTTTGAATATTGCATGTTTACAAGCAAATTTCAGCGAAATTTCATAGCCTTTTAGTTACTATCGCGATTATTCTACTGTTAAATTCTTCTTAATTAAGTAGACGCTCTTGATTGTTCAAAGAATACCACTGTGTTTAAATTATAATAGCGTGGGTGTACCTAAATAAGAGCTCCAGTTAAATATTAATTTTGATTTGCATCGTGAATCTATGGAATAATAGACAAATCTGACATAACTACCTACATATTGTTTTATTCAATACTAGCGGCCGCCCGCGACTTTATACGCGTGGAGTTAGTTATTTACACATACTTTTTGACCCCAAAAGGGGATTTATTTCTTAAGGTACATTATTAGTACACCTCTACACCATCTATAGAGCATACATGTTGAATTTCAAGTCTCTTACTTCAAAAACATAGGACTTTCATACAAACTTCCAACCCCCGTATTACCCCCTTAGGGGTGGAGTTTCGTGAAATTCGTTCTTAGCGGATATCTACACTCTATTAGGAACTTACCTGCCAAATTTTATGTTTTGTAGATGTTATAGTTTCTGAGATTTCGTGATTAATCAGTGAGTGGTGTTTCGCTGTAACGTCGTCTGCGTGAACGCTATAGAGCACCAAAAATACCTACGATTATACCTTTTAAAATGATATGGTGGTAATTTCGCCCGGATCGTAAATTATAAAATTGTCTACTGTGTTTATAGTTGTGTTCGTCATGTTAACCAGGTGCACTGAAGCCGTTTTGGAGTCCGCTTTGCTTCTTGGGATTTTACTAGGTCCTTGTTTAACTTCATACTTACCACACAGGTTATAGTAAAAAGACTTGCACTATTTTTATGGTACTAGTAGCATGAACCCGCAAAATTTCAAACGATCCGAATAATCATAACTGTATTTTTTAAGTGGGGTATCCTAGGAGCTGGACCATATTTGGCGACACTACCTTTTGTTTAACGAATTATTTCAGTTTGCTCATGACAGTTTAATTGTATTAATACTTTTTAAGTATATATACTTAAACAAAGTACAAGTTTGGATGTATATTATTATATAAATGAGTCCGGTTTTTGTAACATTTTTTTTTCAAACGTATAGGTTTGTTTGTTTTCATCATGGAATTATTGTGTACTTTTCTCGTTATATCTTAATATTCCCGTAGGTCACTAAAATGCGCTCCAGCTCAACATAGCTAGAAATCTAAAGCTTTAACATAAGAAAGAATTAATCTCTGTCCGCTGTGGGGTATTTCTCCATAGTCACAAAACACACTGTTCAAAATGTTGGTTCCAATACTAAACATTATGGGTCTTTTATATTGATATTGGAAGCATTAAACTTCTAGGTCTTTTAATGTTCCTACCAGAAATTAGCTTTGTATATTAATGATGAAATTAGATTAACTATATGAGCATGTTAATATATCAATAAACATGCAGAAATTTTTAGTTATTATTAATTTCAAGCATCTATATAAACATATCCTTAGTAAAGTAAATATAATCTTTACATGTCGAAACTAAACTACAACTCGTAGAAACATACTTTCATTGAAGCATAGTTAACAGTATCGCAAAGTTTATTTTAGCTGTACCAGCGTTATAGTTAAATATCGGAACATTATATCGAATAGTTTATACAACGCTCCGACACAGCAGTTTGAATATTGCATGTTTACAAGCAAATTTCAGCGAAATTTCATAGCCTTTTAGTTACTATCGCGATTATTCTACTGTTAAATTCTTCTTAATTAAGTAGACGCTCTTGATTGTTCAAAGAATACCACTGTGTTTAAATTATAATAGCGTGGGTGTACCTAAATAAGAGCTCCAGTTAAATATTAATTTTGATTTGCATCGTGAATCTATGGAATAATAGACAAATCTGACATAACTACCTACATATTGTTTTATTCAATACTAGCGGCCGCCCGCGACTTTATACGCGTGGAGTTAGTTATTTACACATACTTTTTGACCCCAAAAGGGGATTTATTTCTTAAGGTACATTATTAGTACACCTCTACACCATCTATAGAGCATACATGTTAAATTTCAAGTCTCTTACTTCAAAAACATAGGACTTTCATACAAACTTCCAAACCCCGTATTACCCCCTTAGGGGTGGAGTTTCGTGAAATTCGTTCTTAGCGGATATCTACACTCTATTAGGAACTTACCTGCCAAATTTTATGTTTTGTAGATGTTATAGTTTCTGAGATTTCGTGATTAATCAGTGACTGGTATTTCGCTGCAACGTCGTCTGCGTGAACGCTATAGAGCACCAAAAATACCTACGATTATACCTTTTAAAATGATATGGTGGTAATTTCGCCCGGATCGTAAATTATAAAATTGTCTACTGTGTTTATCAGCCTAAGTTACTTATAGTGTGAAGCTAGCTGATAGCATGGTTAACATAATAACAACATTCAAATATGCGTCGTTAGATTACACGATGTTACAAAATGCGTTGAAGAAATAAAGGTTCACTGCTCGTTCCCCGTAGGTGAAAGCGTGATAATATTATCTCCTCTTCTCTTCGCTATATTTATTAATTCTATTTCCAATAATATTTCTTCTTCCTACCACCTGTATGCAGATGATCTTCAAATTTATAGACAAGCCTCTCTTGGTCAATTATCCCAAGCAATACTGGCAACAAATAATGATCTGCGACAAATTGTAGAGTGGAGCGAATCTTTCGGACTAGAAGTAAAAACACAGTGCATTATCATTGGTAGCTCAAGGTTGATTGCCAGAGTGAAATGGCAGTTACTTCCTATCATATCTCTTGCTGGCACCAATATTCCATTCAGTGTTTCTGTAAAAAACTTAGGATTAATTGTCGATAACTGTTTGAGTTGGGGTCCACAGTTACAAACTGTTAGCCAAAAACTGTTCGCTTCGGCAGCCTCGCTGAAGAGACTCCGCAATTTCCTTACTACTGCCACCAAAATTTCCCTAGAACAGTCTCTGCTGCTTCCTATTCTTGATTACGCTGACGCCTGCTATCTTGATCTCACAGAAGACCAACTTAATAAGCTTGAGCGACTTCAAAATTTCTGTATTCGTTTCATATTTTGCTTACGCAAATATGATCATGTGTCTCAATTTCGATCACAGCTCAAGTGGCTACCAATTCGACTTCGCCGGAATACTCACATCCTAACACTTCTCTACAATATATTGTTCAATCCTTTGTCCCCGCGCTATCTCAAGGAATGCTTCAGTTACCTTCATACCTCAAACGCGTTATCTCTTAGGTCATCAGAGAAGTTAACCCTAAAAATTCCTACTCATGACTCAACCTTCTATGGTCGTTCTTTTGCCGTCCAAGCTGTTCTCCTGCGGAATTCTCTTCCAGTATCCATAAGACGAGCACAATCTATTCATACTTTCAAAAATCTTGTTTTCAACCATTATTTGTCGATGTAACTGCAATTGCTTTTTTTTCTGACTGGATTAAACTTATATATGTGTAGTCTATGTATGTATATGTCATATATTTATATTATATGTATATATATTATAGTCATATTATGTGTATATATTATGTATGTATGGTATGTATATATTTAATATACATAGTTATATACATTTTTATATCTTTTGTTTCTTTTATAACACCACCGACTCCAGTTTCATTCAATCCTCTCCATCCAAAGGTTGTCTGGAAGAAATCGCTTTTAGCAATAAGACCGCCCATTGAATCACTGTATAAACATAATCTATTTACCCCATTTATGTACTGTACTGTGGTGTTTCAATAAAGAATTGTGTATTGTATTGTATTGTAATATTAGCCTATATGTTGACCCGACTTCTTAATAATATTCATGCCAAATTTAAAGTAAATCCATGCAGTACTTTTTGAGTTTATCTCGGACATACATACAGACAAAAATTCTAAAAACTATATTTTTTGCTTCGGTATCGATTGTAGATCACACCCCAAGTATTCTTTTAAAAAAATATTCAATGTACAGTTTTAAATTTCCTACCATTTTATTATAAGTACCATATAGGTAATGCTTTGTTAATTCACAGAATAATTTTGAATTTTACAGATTACTTGGAATGTCAAACCATTTCGCAAGCCCTTTGCCTAAATACTTACGTAATTGTTTATTTATTATTATTAAAATGGGCGTAATTACAGCATGATGGTCTAAAAGTAAATCTTTTGAGAGTAGCGTAATCATTATATCAAAAATATCAAATCATTATAAATCTACAAAATGACAAGAAGACACTAAGACCCTTATTAATAGACCACTGTCAACTTTAAAACTACGATCTTGAGATACTGTTTACATAATAAACAGTATCTCTCGAGAACATAAAAGCAAAAGCACTCAGGCTTGAGAGCGATTCATTAATACAGGCCTTAGTAAAATTTAGTTAAGTGTTATTTCATTTGGACTAGTAATAAAATAATATTGTAACACATTCGAGACTTCTTTGTATAAAATCACTCCAAACTGATTAACGTTTGGAACTAACAGCTACACTCCGTGATGACATTTATTTGTTAGAACACGCCACTTTGAATAGCATTAAATTGTGATCCCTGAGTTGGTCGTTGATTCAAATACACACATAAAAATAGTTTAAGCAAAATGCTTCATTTACATAAACTGCAAGTTTATCAGTTGATATTTTTTATTATCGTTATCAAATGTATAATTTATTCAAACGTTTTCTAGATTTAGTTTTTAAAACCTCAAATTTGGTTATTATTAACAAAAGAACATAAGTAAAAAATATTAAAAAATGGTCAAAAGTTCAAAAAAGTTTATGTTACTTAGTCTTTGTGTATATTATAAACTATGTAAGTACTCACGTCTATCAATAAAGCTGTACGTCCCGACGAAGCCGGTGGCGTTGTTTTGCTTGGGTCCCGAATGGAACTCCAGCACCAGGGCGGGCCCCGGCGAGTACAATGCCGGCGGGGCGTCCGCCCTGCTTCCGCACAGCTCTCGCGCCCACGCCGACCGCTCGCTGACGGCGCCGGGTGGCCCTGGGCCCTGCACCTCCCAGTACACTTTCAGGTAGTCACCGCGGACGCAGCTGAAACAAAAGACAAACGCCAATGTCAGAATCAGTTCAACAAAAAAACTTACTTACATCAATTAGATAAGCGTTATGGGATACTGGAGTAACGTAAATTATATAATCACTTACTGATACGTACATAAGATTAATCAATGTCAGCGTCATTGTCTAATTATCGATTTATTATACCATTCTACGACATTTATATAAACCTAATAAAATATTATTATAATTTCGTTATTAAAACCCTAAGTTAAGCTAAAAGCAACGATGCGAAGTTTGCCAGATCAGCTAGTGAGTATTAGTATAGTATTTACAATTTGAAAAAAAGCAATATTTTGCCTGCTGTCTATGTAACAACATCTCCACAGGCGGAGATCGCCAGATAACCTGACCGTTATGCCCAAGCAGTCAAGCAGTGATTAGGCTCAGAACATTGACTCTGGCAGAAGAACTAAAACAGTCGAAAGGACATTGTTCAGCGTCCATACATAGTTAGCCTAAGAACCAACAATCATGAAATATTATTTTCTAGGTTCAAAATCGTAAGTAAATGACTGTAAAAACAAAGATTATTGACGGACACTTCTGAGAACTTAAATTATTAGGAAAACTAAATTTTTTTGAGGTTATGTTTAATATTCAATGAAACATAGGTCAACCTATGAATTTAGTATGAACTCAGTATGAAGTGAATTGATACTACAACTAATTCATTTTATTCGGTGCGATTTTAAAGAATAACTATCTTAGATTAAAACAAAAAGGGTAGATACGGCACAATTTGACATGCAAACGACGTATAAGTGAACGCAAAAAAGAAATATTGATAATATTTTGTGTTTATATGTATGATAAAACAATGCCTAAGTATGTTTTTAAAAAGTGCTCAAATTGCTAAGAACTAAAAATAAAACCCACGGCATCACTTTTCATTCGTAAGTACTATAAAATATATTTTTACATAAAAATTGCTGTTTGTTCTGAATCTTATTCGATAGTGACGTCGAGTACTGGTCGCGTGATTGGTCGGTAGTGCAGTGACGCGGATCTGGCCGTCTCGTTCGCGCTGCCGTTGAAACTTAACGTGCTCTTTCGCTCGGGTCGGTAATGCAGTGAAGCGGATCTCGCCATCCTGTTCGCGCTGTCGTGGGATCAGTTTTTGTTTGATGCAAGTATGAGCGTACCGTATCTACCCTTTTTGTTTTAATCTAAGATAACTTTATGGAAAACTGGGTTAAGTAGGAATCGTGAATAAAATAAAAACTGTAGTTTTGCTTCTTATTTATTGACTATTTTTCACATAATTGTATCATATTGTTTATTGTATTTATTTGTATATCACATGTATATTGTGTAAATATGCAGCGTGAATGTGTATTAGGTGTTCTTGAATAATTTGGCAGTATGATCCTCTCAGGATGTTGTGGCACAGGTTCACTAGCACTTGGTTATAAGGGCTCTGCTCTTTGGTAACATTGATGGCATATAAGATAGCCGAAATAGTTAAATTAAAGGAAAAACAATCGCAAATAAACACACACAACAGGTAATCCGATACGAGAATGCACTTTCAGGTATAATAAACTACTCTTTGGAATGCACGAATGCCACAGATTACTATGAAACTCCATGCACCACAACCACAGAGTAATAAGTTTTATGCCGGCCCTTCACTTGACAAAAGTTTGTCCTTATCATGCTTAATAAGGAATGAAAAGGACAGACTGATGTCATGTTTTAAAATAGCAAATACGAATAGCCAAGTGAAGTGCCGGCATTAGGAAGAAAGAGTGTTTTGTTTGCAGCGCTGCTATAGATTATACACATAAAATGGTATTTATTGTCTCAGATAATTTTTTAACTTTTTAATTTAGCTTACTTAACTGGAAGTGTCCGTCACAATCTAAATACTGATAATTATCGCAAAAAATATACTAAGAATTATCATAAATGCCAAATTGGTGTTGGTTCTTAGGCCAATTTTAACATTGTCCTTTGGTGAATAAGCGTCCTATAGTATTCCTACACTCTATGTATACCAATATCAACAGACAGTTATGTAAAGTAAGTTTAAATAATATCAAAGCGATTTTTTATTTCCTTCTTTTCGAGATGAGAGAAAATGATGAGGTGGTTTCGGGCAAAAAGCTTTAAAATTCCCCGTGTAAGGTATAAAAGAGTAAATTCCCAAGGTTGGGTGTGCAGTTTTAGGTGATATTTTAAAATGAACCAGCATTAACGTCGCCGTTGGATGCTTTATTGAAAATCGTTGGCTAAGACAGGGCTTAGTGTTTTCATTTTATTAAATAAAGTTAGCGTCGGGAACGTGCACTCTTGTAGACTATAGATTAAAATTTACTTAGCGCTCCAAACAAAAACAAGCTTACTAAATGATTGAAATTAATTTCGTAACTCCGCTTTTGTTCAGACGGAATATTCTAGTATTAACAGAATGAAGCGATTCGACAGATTGGTTACAATTTAACTTGTAAAAAAGCTTTAAGTATTATCTGAATAAATTTACACAGTTTGGGGCAAGTTATTTTCGAAGTGGCTTTTATGATTGATAAAATGTTGTCAAGGTTTGGAAATCTTTCCTGTTTTATGATAGTAGCTGATTGTCCGCTGCAATTAGGTAAAGTAATATCTACCTTATTCTGAAAAGTCTTCTTACTACATCCAAATAAAACTAAACTTAGCGCTGTGTTTCAGCAGCTTTATTCAATTATTTTGATATTACAATAGTTAATACAATTTCTTTTGGGGTTCACAAAGTATTAATAAAAATACTATAGTCAAATTTGCGACCTGATTCGGTAACAAATAAACAGAACACACCCATATTTATACATTCATGAAACTAATTGGAGATTTAAACCACAACAATATAAACTACAACTGTATTCACATGGAAATCATTCAACTGTAATGAAAATTAAATTGTGATAAACATCAATGATTCATAGGAATAACTGAATACCAAACGGGCACATGCATTTTATATGCTGATGCCGAAGTTATAAATATTTGAAAGCTTAATTAAATACTGAAAATTGTTTGAATATTGAATATTGAGACCCCGGAAGTTTATTTAGTTATTTTATACGTGCCGTGAACACTACAACTAGGTACCAGGTGTCAGAAGAATGTCTTAGCTAAGAAAGGAGAAATATTTCACTTTTTTTTCGATCTGTAGCTTGTCTGAAGAGACTGCGTAATTTCCTACCCACTACCACCAAAATTGCCTTAGCTCAGACACTCTTGCTTCCTATTCTTGATTATGAGCACGTCTGCTATCTAGTAGATATCACGGAGAACCATACCACTCGATAAACTTGGATGACTTCAGCATTTCTGTATTCGATTCATATTTGCCTTCGCCGGAATACTCACTTCCTTAATCTTCTCTATAATACTGTATGATCCTTTGAACCCGCGATATCTTAAGGAATATTTGAACTTCCTACACACCTCTAACTCATTATCCCTAAGATCATCAGAAAATCTTGCTCTTATTACACCTGTGCCCAGACCAACTTTTTATGGCCGTTAATTCGCAGTACAAGCTCTTCATCTATAGAACTCTCTTCCAGTTTCTATAAGAAGTGCAGAATCAAATCAAATCAAAATCAGTGTTTCCAGACCAATACGACCCAAAAACCTTCAAAAAAAGAGCGTACTCCTTCCTTAAAGGCCGGCATCGCATTTGTCATACTCCTGGTGTTGCAAGTGTCCATGGGCGACGGTGATCACTTACCATCAGGTGAGCCGTCTGCTCGTATGCCACCTAAACATAAAAAAAAGAAAAAAAAGAATCTTCACCGATTCAAAAACTTTCTCAGATCTCCCTATCTGTCCTTGTACCCATAACTTTAACACAAGACTTAAGAACAAGCTTGCCGTTCCGTGTTTCAGACTCCAAAAATCAAGAGGTTCATTTTTGGGTTGTAGTATTACATTGTTTAATAAATTTGTTTCTTATGTTTTCACGCACATCACTCATTAAATAAAACTAGTTTTTACGGGTTAATGCACGAAAATAATTGTTTTATAAAGTTCCCCAAGATCTCATTGAGCTTCCACTGACCAAATTTAAATCTCAGAGAATTCTCTTATGAATAAAGGCTATTATAAAGTTGATGATGATGATTATCTAAATGATCATTACGATCATTTAGATAATCATCATCATCAACATGGACATACTGTTGCTTGTAATTTGGTATTTGATGGGTATTGGTTATTTATTTTCATAATAGTAATATGGTACTAATTACATACACCAAATCCATCTAATACCTATAAATTATTGCGACACTCAACATAGCAATGATGGCCTCATTCCATGCAGCCGCACGAGGTGCAGCGTCAGCTCAACATGCCCCGCGTGACGTCAAGCCGCCGTCCTCGTTTCCGCAATCATACGATTTTTCGCCCACTTCGTTCTAACATCGAACTTGGGCAAAACCTACTTAGGAATAGTCATAATTGTAATTCTTTTTATTAAATTAGTTTAAATAAATTTTAGTTTTTTTAAGTAATTTACTTATCTAATGACGCGTCCTGTATATTAAATATAAAGTTAACTAAAAAATAAATGGTAACTATATATCTATATTCTAAATGATGTAATGGAAGGTTACTTCAGAATCTATATGTGTGTATAGTTTTATATACTTGTTTTGTACATAGTTTTTTTCGCATTTAATTGCAGTTAATTACACCACCGTCTTTTCCTACGGTTGTCTGGAGGAGATTATTCTTAGCGGTAGGATCGTCCATTTCAAAACTGTAACCAACAATTAAGTACAATGTTCTATATTTTCTGAGATGTAAAATAATTGGTTTATTATTATTGTGTTTGATAGTTTACTAGCATGCACCATTGGAATCTATAACGTGGTTCTTGTCTGTATTTCGTGGAGTGTACCCTAAAAATATATTTTTTTAACGTATAGAATCATGCCAAGATGCTCCAAATAATATGCCAATATATCATCAAATTAATTTGAAATTTGCATATTATTTATTAATAAAACATCTTGTAAGTAGGTAAAAAAATCTAAAGTGCCCGTTTTCACATAAACTTGGAATCTATAACGTGGTTCGTGTCTGTCTGTATGTCTGCACAGAGTTGTCCGCAAATATTTTTTTTGAATATCAGATCTAATTTTTGTAATTTTAGAGGTCCGGGGGTGGAGAGGATTCACCAGCCATAGTGAGGATCACCTTAAAAAATTGCAAAAAAAAAACTAAAATTTACAACTTTTTAATGTAAGACACCACGGATTCGCACGACAGTCGATAATTCATGGTTTTTTATTATTAACAAGGGTAAATAATGGGTATGAGACTTTGTATTGACTTTCAATTAATAAAGAATCTATTTCAGCAATAAAGAATAAGAACGTTAGGGTATTTTATGGGGGCGAAAGTGTGCACTTACTTATAGGGAAATCTTACTTTTAGGATTTTAATATCATCATCATTATTATCAGCCGATGGACGCCTACTGCTGGACTGGTATAGCCTATCTTGGCATTCATTTGAAAATGATTATGTAAGTTGCTAATTAGTTAGGCTCCTGATTAGCCAGGTAATTAGAAAGTGGTCATGTTTTTTGAACTTCAGCGCCGTTGTAGTCCACCCTGACGTAAGCGGGTATGTATTAAACATAAAAAGGGTTTTTCGATAAATTCCAAACATTCTTTTAAGTTGGTTGATAAAATAATAATCTATTGAATTTACATACTCATATTTCTTTATTGTGCAATTACTCAATTATAGCCGGCCATTAGCTCTTCGCATTATATTACACGGCCGTTCTCCTTTATTCCTTCCTTAACGTTTCTCGAGACAATCAAAGACAGAACATTCTCATATCGCCCGCCCATCAATCTTTCCGCATACGGGTGTTTCTGACATTCCCCGGCCACTGTGGCTAATACTCGCAGTAATATCCTTATCATTGATTCCCGCACTGTTCTTTTGTGTGAGATAAATAAAGAGGAAGAGTCTATAACTGAATGAAAAAACATATATATTACATCGTAATGGAAGTTTAATCGACGAGCTTGATGGCGTATCTAAATTTGTTCGGTGTTGGATTTCATAATGTTGCGCAACCTTAGCAATCGGATGGGTGACCAAAATGTTATTGAAGTTTTTTCATACTTTAAGGTCTTAACACAACCGGCACTATGTTCGTGTTATCATAGTTCTTTTACTAAGCGACGACAAACCAAATTGGAAGCTGTTATGCCCAACAAGGCACTTAACAAAGTTGATCTCCGAATCATCATTGATTAGGTTATTAGAAACGGCGGCGCGGAATTAGTTTTGTGTTACGTTTTGTATAATAAGTGACAGGCAGGCAACCTGTCACTCGCAACCCATCCTTACAAACAACAAAGGGATCAAAGTCTACTCCACTATCACAAAACATTATTAACCATTATTGAAGTCTGTATCGAATGTCTGACATTATTGGTTAACTTACCTTTCTCTCTCAGGTTTACCTGATAGTCATTGTCATTATTGGCCCATTGTCGACAAACAAGACGGGATATATGGAACGGGGCTAGTATTTTTGTCTTTCTTAAGGCTGATTAATAATATTATGGTAATTGTTTACTCACATTCCTAATATGCTGTCCTTTAAAATGCTTTGGCTTACAACTTCCGTCCTATCTGAGAGCGTGAACCTATATGTATTTTTACTTGTATATGAATTTGCTCATGAAAAACATAGTTAACTATGGGCTACCTCGTAAAAGAATTTGATTTCTATTAGAGCTATACAAGAAAATATTAACTACACAATCCTGTCGAGGTTTTGAGATAAACATTTTTATGTTTTCTAGAGCTCAGCCCAATTCCTTTGGGACTGAAGCGTATATATGTGTGGGGGAGAAAAATCGCTTATATCCACTGCGTATACGTTATTCATGGGAAGTCTTTGTTATTTATATTATAATATAAAATATGAATAACAAAAACATACCTATGTAGGCACACGCAATAACGTCAGGTTGTGCGGGGACAAAAAGATGCGTAGTTAAAACACTTGGGTAAAGTGTGAGGGTACTTAGATAAAAATCTATAATAAACTTCAATATGAGTCAAGAATCTACACCAAAAGATCGTAAATCTTCGGCAGAGGACTTTATACTAAGGGGCAAGGTAGAAAATTATTTTCTTCTTGTGTCGAGGCAGCTTTTTTAACGATAAAAGGTTTCTATACACTAAATGATTAAGACGTGAAAAAAGTGTCAAAATTTTAGTCTAATTTTAATTTTAAATATACACAACTAGATACTAGCTAACCTGGCGAACTTCGTGCCGCCCAACAGGCGATAAATGTGGTTATATTTAAAATTTTAAGCATAATCAAATTAATGATATCGCACCTTTAGAATTGAAGTGACTTAAATAAAAAAAATTGCAAAATGACTTTTAAACGTGAAACGACATAAAAACATGTATTCTATCAGTTTATTAATAATAAACAGGCTCTTTTAGGCCAGAAACAGACAAACGTACTATTTCCGTCTCTTTTAAATGACACGCATAACGCGCCTCCCTCAGTATTAAAGTACCCCAAACAGTGTTGCGTGGACATTTATATCATTTTCCTTTAATTTAGAAAATTAGTAATTATTAAACTAGCATATTACAAAATTGGTCATCTATCACAAATATAACATTAGAAATGAATCGCCTCTATATTAAATAGTTACGTTCTTGTTTTATGTTGTTTAGTAAAAAATGGGCACAAAGTAAAATAAGCCAATTTTATTAAACTGTTTTTTGGAAAATAAGTGACATCTATTTTTTGATGATTAATTAACAATGGTTCTCATTAGTTCTACAGACTGGTTAAGTAAACAATCATGAAAACAATTCCTATCCTACCATTAACAATAAAAAATATGATAATAAACGTATAAGCTATTAGTATTATAATAGAAAAACAAAAAAATGACCAACTCTTCAATTACATTTTTAGCGTTTACCAAAAAACAAGAATTTTGGATTAGGTCACTTCAATTCTAAAGGTGCGATATTACAACCGCAATAAAACATAGACAAAAAAAAGTTTAAAGTTCATCAGGTTGATGGATAAAGGGAAATTGAAATTATATTAACTTGTACTTTAATGACGTATTAGCTAAGATGTATTTATAGTTACAGATACGTCATACACGCTCTAGAGTGGCAACACGAGTGCCACGAGTGTTTCTCGAGCCGCAAAGAGGCCGTCGATGCGTTCAAAATGCACGATTTAGAGATACATACATACATTTAGAGATATATATCATAATATACAGAGAGTTACAAAAATACAAATAATGCTTGAAGGGCCTTGAAGTACATCACATAAGGAGTCTTCTCTAATTTTCTTAAAATATTTGCATGAAGTTTTAACCTTTTATAAAAACAGTTATTTTTAATGATCCTCGAACTAGTGTCATGTCTTAAAATGATCAATATTTTTATTAATCATTAAAAATAACTGTTTTTATAAAAAATTAAAACTTGATGAAAACATTTTAAGAAAATTAGAGAAGCTCCTTATATGATGTACTTCAACGCCCTTCAAGCTTTATTTGTATTTTTGTAACACCATGTATATATATATATTATGAAAAAGTACTACGAAAATTGGTTCCGAGATATGCAAAAGTGCATCGATCATCATGGCAAATATTTTGAAAAGTAATAAAACTATAATAATAAATATTATTATATTTTTTTCTCTTTGTTAGTCTGAATACATAAATAGCAGCCCTCGTTATTTCATATATTTTTTAAAAAGATGTTTTAGCATTTCAAAAGTCTGCATTTCACTTTTCTCCTATCTCCTACCTGTGCTACCTACCTGTGCCTCATCATCATAAACAGATTTCATAGAAATCGGTCCAGCATTTCTTGAGTAATAAGTGTTCTTAATAACACAACTATGTTACTAACACAAATAATTTGAAACATTCGCCTATACATCGTACATCGAATTTCATATTATTCTTATTTCGTTTCTCAATAGGTATTTACACTTTAATATCAACACATTACGATCTATTTATTTCATTCAATGGTAGTCTGTTTGGTTTCTTTTGTCTCTTCATTCTTTTAAGTATTTTAGTTTTTCTTCGATGACAAAGGCAAATTTAATAACTACTACTCATTCCTATGCGAAAAAGCTATTGTATTTTTTTTGTTTGAAAGGAAATGCACTAATTAAGACGCTTATTTTACTAAGATCATTAATTACTTGTATTAATTATATATCAGCATTTATTTTTTTTATAAAAACCTCATGATCATTTTTTTTCGTTGTGTTTTGTATCAAATCTCTCTTCTTTAAGTACCTAGTATTCAAATGAATGCTATCCAATTACAGATTAATGATTTAAGTTTTTCAAAGGAGTTAAAAGCAATACTATTAAGTTACCAACACACACAGATTCTATATAAAGAAATGATAGCTAGTATATGGAACAGTTCCAATAACAAGAAAATCGATTGAAGGCCGTCTAAAATAGAGAGACAACCGTTTTTCTCTCCTCTAGCACCTACAATCTTATCAGCCGATCGCGATGTCGGTGACAGGCCATTTTTAAGAGCACCCCTACCTAACTCAATCGGACAGAAATGACAAGTTTCTTACCACCAAGGTGAGAATTTTATACCTTCGCGCCGCGCGCCTCTTCGTTTACACAAAACAGGGTGCTTATTTGTGATTTTTTAGATTAATGATGGCATTAAACTGACGTACATATTGACTTCAAAATAATAAAAAAAACTTTAGATATTTACCTATATATTATCCCTTTACGAGGGGAGATTTAAAATGTATGATAAGAAATTCCGATATTTTTCTTTGGTGTTTTCATTAAATACCTACTTAATAACTTTGTGTATTATGTGTTTATTATTTTTTGTTACTTTTTTTAATGTTATATTTTTCTTTATTATGATATTTTAATTTGGGGCTAACATCGGAAAACAACAAGATATACCTACTACAAAAACGCGCTGTGAGATTCATCTACAAAATGTTACGCGATTCCTTTTTCAAAGTTTCAAAGTAGGTACGTTACCTATCCCTTTATTATAATATATTTTATATACATAAAAGAGGAGCGGTAAAATAAACTCTTTAAAAAAGTACGATTCACCTCTTGAATAATAGAAATAAAAATAAATTATCGGCTCCTTAATTGTGTCCTTATGACTGTAAGAGCGAAGTCAGTAAGTAAGTGCTGTAAAGGCTCAGCGATGTTAAACAAAATCATTATATTTTAACGTTGTTTCGTTTCTATCAACACAAGGGTTATTGTGTGCTGTTTTTGCGAATAACAAGCTAATTTTATTTCTTACTTACATAAACTTATCTAGTGACTGGTATAGACTCTGGTTGGGTAAAAACTTGAAATAATTCTCTCCAATCGGTCAACTCGACGTGATCGGGTTTTCAAATTTCAATAACGCCTTTTTCGCAAATAACTAAATTACCTTCTGCTTTAACGTGTTTTCATTAGCATCAATAGCTTGCACGACAATGACAGTTAGCAACAACTAGGTTCTGTAGCCTACAAGCTGGTTTGAAATTCAGATTTGCAATTCGCAGCGCGTCGTGCGGTAGCAAATAGTCCGTTTGCCCGTGTTTGTAATCGAAAGCTCAATATGTTGGCCATGATTATGTTAGCTGTGGCTTCATCCATACACTGATTCAAGTTAGACTGTGACCATTGGTTTATGTACACCTATACTGATGAAGAATATTAATGAGAACGATATTGATAGCTATTTTTTTCAGCCTACATAGTATTAGGTATTAGTTGGGGATTTAGGGTAATCTAACTTTGTAATGCGAGAAAATCGAATCTAAGAGATGCTGAAGCCCAAGCACGAACTTTGACAGCTCCGTAATCGTATCGTGATCGTCAAATTATGTATAGAAGGAGCCTGTTAGTTTTTACATCCGATAAGGGTGCTGCTAAGTTTTCATCAGACTTTGACGCTGCAATAGGATTACGTAGCTGTTAAAGTCCGTGTTTGGGCCTCTGGTGATATTAAATAAAGTATAAAATGAACTAATCTACTTATTCCTATCGTTAAATATTTAAAACATATTTTTATAGGATGCGATTCTTCGGACACAATAAAGTTATTTGAATTTTAATGTTATATTTTTAGATATTTTTAGATATGTGTAGATACAATGATTAGTTAACTTAGTATCGATGAGAATCTTTAACAAGTTGTGTGGATAAATCTCTCCTTTAAAGTGTTTTGTCATTATCTTGTATGAAACTTAAAATTGTCAATTTTTTTTAGTCGACAATACAAATACAGCACAGTACTTTGTACTATTCTACGGTAGCTTTCGTTCACAAAAACCTGACTTGCATAAATGTGGATCAGACTTCGATCGCTAGTTAACTCATGAATATGGATGAGATGCCCGCAGAAGTAAGATAGCGTTATACAAGCAGAAACAAAACATGTCTAAAATTTCCTAAAACACGT